AGGTCCCAAGTTGTTCTCGGAAATGTACCCAACACTTGTTTTGTACCCCTGAACTATGAGCTAATGTACCCTAAGTAAACACGTACCTCCACCCTGAACTGTGTAAACCCCTATGACATGCCCTATCTTATGATCATGAAGTAATGTACTTGCGATATATTTTGTGATGTATGAATCAATCTGTACCCCTACCCTGTGACCCGGCTCTAACTGCTACGATTGGCTTCTGTTATTGTGCTAGCTTGCTAATCACCACGACTATGCAGAATAATAGTATAAAAGGCTTCTCCCCCACTATTCGAGGCTTCTTGTTGGCCCACCACAAGAGCCCCCTGCAGGTGCACCTGTAGGTATATCAAAATTATCAATCAATTTCTATTACTTAATCAATATCTGAAGTGAGGTCCATCCTTCTCTCAGCCACCAGGAATACAACAAAATGACCGTGCCACCGTAGGTGAGGCTGAAAAGCAAATTATCACTTTCCTTAGAGAAAGTTTAAAAGCCAGGAACCGGCATCCGGAAAGATAATAAAGATATGACACGTGTTTCTTTTTCTGTGAACACACACCACCTATTTTAGGAGTCCACGTTTTGATATCAGCAAAAATGGGAAATAGACATTAAAATCTTTTGCCAAATAAATCTCTCCTCTGCTGAAGGAGTTGCTAGGAGCAGAGTGCCTGCAAATTTTAGGGGCATGAGATACTAAAATAGCCAGTTACTATCTTCCCTTTTCTCTCTCTTCTCAGGCCTTTTCTTTTTTCTTTTTTTGAGACAGAGTTTCATTATGTCACCCTCTGTAGAGTGCTGTGACGTCACAGCTCACAGCAACCTCCAACTCTTGGGCTTAAACAATTCTCCATAACCACTAAGCTACTGGCACAGAGCCCTTCTCATGCCTTTTCTTCCTTCCTGCCTCTCTCTCCCTCTCCTCTGGCTCCCTCTCCTGTTTCTTTCTTGTTTTTTAAAAAAACTGTTAAGGGAATTGTTTTTAATCATTATTTTCTTGTTCCCTATACAGGAAAGGATTATGAGAAAGGAGAAAGATAAATCACCAGCATTTTCACAAGGACTGTTAGAATGGAACAGGTCCACATTCACACCACATCGATCAATCATCAGTCACCAATCAATAATCGATTGATCAATCAATCAATCATCAATCAGTCACCAACCAATAAGTGATCAATGATCAATGAATCCATCAATCAGCATGGACTTTCTCCAGGGCATAGTGGAAACTGGGATCCCACGTGACAAGCTCCTGTTCCAGCAAAGGTATATAGAAGTTTCCTGCAGAACACACAGGACCATGTAGCCTGAGGGTCTGGAGGTCAGCATTGCCCACTATCACCAGCCCAGGGGACTTTGGGCAGGGAGCCACAAACACAGCAGAAAGCAGATGGCACCTACCCTGTTGTTCCTCATCACTCCTGGGGCTTCCACCACCTTCAAGAGAAAAGCAGAACCCGTTGACAAATTGTCCCAGGAACAGTTTTGGCAAAGGAAATATTCACGGCAAAGTTCCCCTCCCTGTGAGCTGGGGGCTCCTTCACAGAATGACCACAAATCCCAATTGGTCCTTTTATGATCGAGAGGTCCCAGTCAGTTGGTGAGTGGGGAATTCCCCCTCGGTGTTGGTCCCATTCACAGGGAAACAAGGCTCAGCTCCCAGCTCAGAGCTGCAATGTATGGCCTGGAGATTCTGTCCCCTAAATCCCAGCCAGGAGCCCATCACAGACCCCATCCATGCTAACAGAGGGGTCCTGTACATCCTGCCCACTCCATCCACCTCCTGCAGGGCATGAAACAGCCCACTTCACCTTCTTTCAGGGTCTCCCCAAGCTCAGGGAGGCAGTGTCAAAGCCACCTCTGACTTATTTTTAAATTTCACCCTGAAAACCTGTGTCTACAGACATTCAGACTTGGATTTAAACCTCTACTTGTCTAATGATACCAACATTTCTGCACTCTGCTCTAGGGCCCAGGAAGCTACAAACCTGTCAGAGACCCACTGTTTCCATAACACTAGAATCAGCACCTGTGCGTGATGAGGCTACGTTCACACAGGTGTCACATATCGCACAGCCATAGAGCTGGGGCTGCCTGTTACAACACAGGGGTGCAT